TTTTTTGACGTAAAATAAAATTTTCTGTTAGTCTCGGTCAGTATCGTTTCTCGGTATCGGTCTCGGCTCAAAATGATGGTATCGGTCTCGGTATCGGGTTCTTGAGTATCGGTTAATCTCGGTCTCGGGTTGGCCGATACCAGTATCGTTTTGCCCAACTCTAATTTCAGGAATGGAACTGTATTTAATTTTTTTTAATTTTGTTTGTTTAATTTTAAGAATTTTTGAAATTTATTTTTTAATTTTTTAACCTTCAATTTTGATAATGTTTGTCAAACTCAAGATTAAAATAAATAATAAAAACATTAATTCTGATTAAATTTAATTAGAATTTAATTAATTAAATTTAATTTTAAATTTAATTTAATTATTTCAGTGAAAATAAAAATCTGTATAGATATTTTTACTGAAATAATTATGAAAAATTAAATGATTCATTCTAAAAATATTTTTGGATTTTTTTATTTTTATTTAAATGAATGCAGATAAATATTATTTATGTGTTTAGTAGTTAACCATTTTTATTAAAAAAAAAATTAGTAAAAAATTTTAAAAATAAGACATAACTTTCAGCAAGGCATTCGAGTGAAAAATTCATTCAATTAAATTTATGAGTTAAATGAAGGTTTATGAGCCTCATGAAAGTTTATATTGTTATTACATTCTATATTGGATCTACTTAACTTATCATAAAACGTATCTTTTTACATCTCAAATATTTTCAAATTTTCTTCAAAATATCTTAACATTTAATTTAAAATATGAATATAAAATACCCTTGTATGTAAAATTTACAAGTAAAATAAAATATTAACAAATGCACACTAATTGAAACATATTCTAATTTAGCACTATTTTGCTTGGGTATATTCCTGAATATATGTACTCAGACATTTATATATAAAAATATACATGCAAATTAACTCTGTATTAGTACATTTATTTGAAAATTTATTTGTTTTACTAAATCATTTGGATATAACTCTAAATTTTGGATAATTTTACAAGAAAATTAGGTACTTTATGGATATGTCACCCCCTCCTATTTTGAGTCTCAGAGTTTTCCTTAAATGTAGAAAATGGTCAGAGATTATTTTCTTCTCCATGTCAATCATTTTTCTTTTTTCAAGCAAAACAAGTGAAATGTGATAAATGTAGAAACGAAATGAGTGAAATGTAAGTACAAAATATGTGAAAAGGCAAAATAAACAAGCAAAATACTTGAAGAAGAAAAAAATGATTGACATGGAGAAGAGACGCATAAGGAAAACTCTGAGACTCAAAATAGGAGGGGGGTGACATATCCATAAAGTACCGAAAATTATATTCTACTCCTATAATTTTCTAATAAAAGTTCATTGACTAAAAATCTTTCCATGCTTAAACAAGGTCAATTTGTGTTGAAACCAGGGTTGCCGCGGGTACAAAAAATCTTCGGGTACGGGTTTCGGGTATCGGGTTGGAGCGTTTTCATTTCGGGTCACGGGTTTCGGGTTGGCAAAAATATCGGGTACGGGTTTCGGGTTATAAAATTTTCATTTCGGGTCACGGGTTTCGGGTTGGCAAAAATATCGGGTACGGGTTTCGGGTTATAAAATTTTCATTTCGGGTCACGGGTTTCGGGTTGGCAAAAATATCGGGTACGGGTTTCGGGTTATAAAATTTTCATTTCGGGTCACGGGTTTCGGGTTGGCAAAAATATCGGGTACGGGTTTCGGGTTATAAAATTTTCATTTCGGGTCACGGGTTTTGGGTTGGCAAAAATATCGGGTACGGGTTTCGGGTTATAAAATTTTCATTTCGGGTCACGGGTTTCGGGTTGGCAAAAATATCGGGTACGGGTTTCGGGTTATAAAATTTTCATTTCGGGTCACGGGTTTCGGGTCGGCAAAAATATCGGGTACGGGTTTCGGGTTATAAAATTTTCATTTCGGGTCACGTGTTTCGGGTTGGCAAAAATATCGGGTACGGGTTTCGGGTTATAAAATTTTCATTTCGGGTCACGGGTTTCGGGTTGACAAATTATCGGGTACGGGTTTCGGGTTATAAAATTTTCATTTCGGGTACGGGTTTCGGGTTTGGCGAAAAACTCGTGTTGAACTAAATTGTAAGGAGAAAAGTTATGTTGCAAAATAAGATTTTGTGTGATATATGTAGAGAGGCAAATTAGAAGAGATTAAAGAGACATTGTGGGATTTGGGAATTAAGAGGGATATCTTGGTAAAATCCCACTATATACTAATATCTATCCGCTTTATCTCCATTAAAGCATCCCATTTTCTCCCGTTTTCAGCGACGCAGGCGAAAATTCTGGGAATTTTAATGATCCTTAAGCCAGATGTATAGCTTTTTCATCGCCGGAGGCGAAAATTTTGAGAAATTAGTTGGTCACGAAGCCAAAACTCTTGATTTTATGCGCCGCAGGCAAAAATTTTGCAAAATTCATGACTAAATTAAAATTTTTAATGCCTTTTCAAGTTTAAAATATTAAAAAAAATAAATAGAAAAATTTAAAATGAAAATCAAAGTTTAAAAAAATTCAATTTTGAAAAGAAAAATTTTTTAAGTCTTATATCCATCCATGGACTCGAACCCATCCCTATGAAAATATCAAGCAAGTCGCCTTACCCATCCAACCACCGATCAACATATTGAATATGGAAGAAATTATAAATATTTCCTTTTCTTTTCCTTCTTTATCTTTCTATAATTTTTTAAAAGAAAATCGGGTAAGGCCAAATTTTCGGGTAGAAATTTCGGGTTTTAACCAATTTCGGGTCACGGGTTTCGGGTTGGAAAATTTTCAATTCGGGTATCGGGTTTCGGGTACAAAAAAAAGGCCGGGTTTCGGGTTTCGGGCGGCAACCCTGGTTGAAACTCATTAACGAAGAGTTAAGTCCCAAAAGACGAAAGTTTCTCAAGTAATGCTTCCTGAACAATATTTAAATACTGCAGTTTCCATATTTGCTTCCATTTTATTTATTCCACTTTCAATAATTGCATTAATAATTAATTTATTATATGCTTGTGTTTTGATTCATGGGCACGATATTTTTCTACAAAATTTGTTTATATTTGTTCAAGACATTTAGTAATAGCCGATATAGTATCTTCACTCACACAAATTTTTGTAATTGTTCCTACTGTTATTTTACCATATGAGATTGGAAGAGGTTAGTAATTGAGGAAGTGTTTTGACAAGAGTCTGATTAAAGTTCTCGGTTTTGACTCTAAGTATGCTTTAAATTAAATCCCGGACAATGTTCGACAATTGTGATCCCATTTTCCATAGTTATTTGAGATCTTGATGAAAAAGCTTGTAATGATCTAGAGATAAAGCACAAATTTTCAGAAAAACTTTGATATTTTTCATTTTAAATTAAAGTATAATTAGTTGATCTGATAATGTTTTAAATCTAAAATGTTTTCAAATATACCGTAAAATCTCTAATAGAATGCCATGGCATTCTATTTTTCAATCACCTTCTAGAGTGGCATTCTATTAGATGGTGGCATTCTAATGGCAGGCCGAAACTTGCGGACCGACTTTTGCGGACCGAAACTTGCGGACCCGACGAATTTCTCAAAACATAGCTCATTCGAAAGAGTTCGACGAGCTGAGTCGAAAGACATCAAAATTATCGTGATTGTACAAACCTGGACAAGGTTACGATAGAAAAACAAAAACCTAAACCTATGGTCCGCAAAAGTCGGTCCGCAAGTTTCGCACTACCATTCTAATAGAGGGTGCATTATATTAGAAATTTTAAGGTAAATTCCAACCAATCAAAATAAAAAATAAAGTTAAAATTTTGGTGAATCTATAATTATAAGTTTTCTTCTTCTATTGTCATTTCGTTATAATCCGAGTTATCCCCTGAAATTAATTAATTTAAATTAAAGAATATCTTTTATCTCGATTTGTTGAAACCGTTTTAACATGCGAAACTCTTGCCCATATGGCTACTTTTCATTTTATGTTTTTACAATCACTTGGACATGTTCACAATCAAATGTTATATTCACAAAATGAAATAGCTATACATGCATTAAATAATTGGGGTTCTATTATTTCTACAAGTTTTTGGATTTGGTTAGCTTGTAAGTAAATGTGAAACTATAGTATTTTTTGTATAATTACTTTGGGTAATTATTTTATCGATGAATCATTAGTGTAATGAATCGAGGAAGGGCAATTATCCGAGGTTCGGATTCTCAACCTGTTTAGGGCATTTGATGGGGGGGGGGGTCTTTATTGGTCTAAAAATGTGATGGGAGTATTCAATGGGGTTGATAAGAGGCAGATAAATACTTTTACTTTTACTGTTAAGTAATAGAAAAGGAGTGATTATTTGAGGAAATGTACATAATCATCTAGGTTTTACGGTAATATACTAAAATGTAGAGCCCGGACGGAGGGGTCGGTCGATATTTTTTCGATAAATATCGAAAAATACCGAATATCAAAAAATATCGAAAAAGTCAAAATTTTCTCTGTCGATATTTTTTCGATAAATATCGAAAAATATCGAAACCGAAAAATATCGAAAAAAAAAGTCTCGATATTTTTCGATTTTTCCAAAAAAATTTAAAAAAATTTTAAATGATAAAATAAATGTTAAAATTTTGATATTAAGATTGATTATATGAGATACTGATATCAAGGGATTTGTATGATGGATTGAGAGGATATGAGAGGATATCAGTAGATAACATATCAGTATATATGTATAGAGGTGGATTTTAAGGGGATATTGGAGGATTATGATGTATAACATATCGAGAGATTTAAAGGGAATAAGAAGGATATTGTGGAGTTGGGGGTAGGAGGGATATCATGGGATTTTGGTGGATTACGAGGGATAAAATGGATATCTTGGAATTTGGAGATATTCCTACAAATCAGGGTCAACATTTACGGTCATGTTTTCATGGTGACGGTGGTTGCGGTGGTTTTTGCCATCGGGATGGGGATAGTGGCCCAAATCCTTGAATATCACTCATCCCAAATCTTTTTCTAACTCAAATGTTGTCCATGCACGGTGCGGGGCTCGTTTTTTATCGTCGTTCGGCAGTTTCTTGATGAGCTTGCTTGACTTGGTGTTTTTCGCTTTTTTCTCTTGTTCGTAGATTTCTTTTACAAGCTGCCACGTGCGGGGATGAGCCAAGTGTGATGATTGGGAAACATTCTGCACGTGCTGTTTTCCATCCAAAAACATTAAGTAGTCTTGCATCTTTCCTACACGTTGCTGCATCATGGTGCGCCAATTCTTTAAAGTCAAAGGTCTCTGCATCTCCATTTCTTTTAGCTTTTCTTTAGTTAAAGTTTTTCCAGCATATTGCAATGAGTCGGGGTCGAGCACAGAGCAATAGTCGTTGGCCAGCGGACGTGCTATTGGTAGACCACACAATTCTTTTTCATAAAAAGCCACACTTTTCGCACGTGCTGTTTTCTGCTGAGTTGTTGCCGCAAATTTTGACACCATTTCCTCCATCATTTTCCTTGGTGCTGCTTTCTCAGTTATTGTAGAAGCGACATAAAAAGGTTTCTTTTTCGCCAGTTTATTTGTTGTTGGTAGAGTTGTTGTCGGCACTTGCTGATGGGCTTTAGCAAATGGTGGCAGCATTAAGTCGTCTGTAATTTTGCGACGGGCAAATTGAGGTGCACATGCAGGTGATGGGCTGCGTGGAGGTGAGAGAGATACGGTACTCACTTCCTCTGTTGTCTGCACATGTGCTGGTGTTGTTTTGACAATTGCTGAGGCAGTGATGATTGGCTGCTGCTTGCTTTCATTATTGGTTGTTGTTTTAAGTGTAGTAATAGTAGCAAGACGTGCTGTTGTTGTTGGGCAGAGTCGTTCTTTTCCCAATTTCTTTATTAGAGCAGCTTTTGCGCGACATGCAGCCAGTTTGTCTGGTAGTCCCAATTTTTGACGCCAAGTTTTTCGTTTGTATCCATCATTGTAGAAAGGGCACAAACTGTCTCCAGGGCGATGTCCAATTGGTTTGCTGCCTTTGCTGTCACACACGATGCAAAGTGATGGAATAGGCATTAATTCTAATTTTAATTTATTTCTCTCTGAAGTAGAAAGCTTTTCAATTTGTGCTTGTGCCATTATTGAAATGTCAAAGTTTAAAGTGATTTGAACGTTCAAAGCGCGAGTGGTATGAGGCGGAGCCCAAAGTTCGATATCAAAAAGCATAATAGGGGTGGCGCAGACAACGTTGCAGCAAAATGAAGATAGCACAATGCCGATAAAAATTGAAATTGATGGACACATCTGGCTTGGCCTTTCTTTTGTTTTTGTTATATGTTGAGTGGGCGGCGCATGTCGTTCAGAGAAAGAAAGAGTGTGTGGCCAATATTGAGTCTGAGTACAACGGGTAGACGAGTGTGCAGGCACGTGTTGAGTCTGTGTGCGACGAGTAGAAGAGTATGCAGGCACATTGCTAGCATTTTCATTAATAGGCACTTGCTGGTGAATAATCGACCGCGGGCGATTATTATGAACAGTCGACCGTGGGCGATTGTTGTTTATAGTTGACCGTGGATGTGTAGTCGATTGTGGATGATTGTTTTGAGTAGTTAACTGCGGGCGATTGATTCCACGGCGGGTAGTCGATTGTGAGTTCCTAGTCAGCTGTTTAGTAGTTGACTGAGCATTTCGGCGCACGTTGCGATTGGCGTTGCGGTTATTGCCTAAAGTTGTTCCAGCCATAGGTTCTGTTGGTACAGACGAGTCCAATCGGTTAAATCCACCATTATCAAACGGTTCAACATTGTTTCCAGATTTTCGGTACACCATCACTGGAGAGATTGGTATAGTTGGTAGTTCTCGAGTCCCAAATTCCTTTTGCACAGGCGTAGAAGTTCTGTTGGCGGCCGGCGGTGGAGTAGCAAGTTCTCCATCAAAAGTCCAATCAGTCCAAGTATCATGTTCCGGTTGAGCACTAACATGTTGCTCACTTTCACGTGCTGTCATTTCCGAATTGGTCCAATAAATTCTTTCTGGTGGGATAAGTTCATAGTGTCGTTCTCCTTGTCTCCAACATGCTTTTCCACGGTTGCGACGTAGTGATTTAGCACTTGATCCACGAAATCCATGTCGGTTCTCACGTTCCAGCGGGTTTCCAAAGAGCATGCAGGGTAGGTCAGGTCGAGTCAATTTAACTCCTTTGTTCCAGTAGTGACGGTCGACAGTGCAGTTGGGCATAATCAGTTCCTTGTTGGCAGGTAGCTCAGTAAATCCTGCAAGTCCTGCTGGTCGTCGCAAAGTGCTTTTTGCAGTTAAAAATTCCAGTTCGGCATTTACAGATTCCATTATCTTAGCAATTGCTACTCCAGCTTCAAATTGAGTTTTGTCGTCACGATTCCATCCAAAGTAGTGATGATCCAGCCATCGGTCCAATCGAGTTGGAGTTGTTTTAGTATTGTTGTGAAGGCGCATCATATTGATTGACCAAAGTTCTTCCAAGTTTTCAAAGTTGTTAAAATGATTGATGGATGGCATTTTCTGCTGAACTTTTATAGCCAGAAAGGGGCGTGACCATTGATAATAGTTTGTCGTTGTTAAGCTGGTGACCAAAGTAGGCGGTGCCAATTTTTGTAAGTGGGTGTGCCAAGTTTTCCCATAAGTTTTCCGAGAGTCGAGACATAATGTCGAGATTGTCGAGACATGCATATTCTTCCACATTCTAAGTCGAGATTCGAGACCATAGTTTCCATAAGTCGAGGTTAGCATATTCTCCCGTCCGTAGGGCCCTCCCGGCGCCTGAGTTGCGAAGCAAATTTCAAGTAGTGTAATGAGAAGCACGAGTCGAGCTGCTGCCTTCCAGGCTCGAAATACTGGGTTGAGGCGCACAAAAAGATACAGTAGTCCAATTCCAATAATGAGTGCAAGTAGTAGGGAGGTGATGCTTGAAAACGAAGTCAAGAATGTTGCCAATACTCTTGGGTCAAATCCAGTGTCCCACCAATTGCCTGAGGGTAAATCCAGTGTTTCTGAGTCTCGGTGTCCATGTTGAAATCTTCTCTTGATTGGCACGTAGTAAAGGTCTCCAATGAGTTCAAAGTTAGTTTCTCCTGCAGGGCAGTCAACACGGCAATTGGTCCGGATTTGAAAGTGGTCAAACGGTAAATTCTCCTTTCCAATAGTTCCATTTGGTGAGCATCTTGCTTAAAACACAGTTCCATCAGCACATTCAATGTTAGCAAGTGCATTTCCTCTATCTGTTGAACAAGTATATTGTAGTTGTGCTCCGCTTTCACATTTATAACATCCAGTGAGATTGTGAACTTGAACATGCGAGTTTGAAAATGATGCGAGTTGAAAACAATGAAAAATTGAAAAAATTTGAAAATTTGAAAATTTGAAAATTGAAAATTTGAAAAAATTTGAAAATTTGAAAAATTTGAAAAATTTGAAAAAATTTGAAAAAATTTAAAAATTTGAAAACAATGCGAGTCTTGAAATTCCAATAGTAGTTCCAGGTGCTTCATTTGCACATGTAGTTGTAGCGGTGAGTATCCATAGTCCGCATAGACATTTCCTCTCTCATTTTTAAGTTGTAGTCTTGCCACACTGAGTGGTAGTCTCACTGTTGAGTCATGTAGTATTCTCTCAAAGTTTAAGTCACGGCAGCTGCAGGCGACAGCTCCAGAGTCGTGGTCGAAGATGCAGTCGACGCACACTGTGTTTGATATGCTGCAGTTGAACATCCTAGCATCCGATTCAGTTGCACAATCTAGGTCTCTTGGTATATTCTCCACCATTGCGACGCTGGTCCCATCAGTAATGAATTGCCGGTTCAGGACTGGTGCCGGGGGTGCAGCGACGGCGATTGGTGTCACAGAAACGTTGTTCCAGTTAAACGTCATTCCAGGGTGTAACACAATTGAGTCCATGAGAGGTTTCTTCCCACTGACCTCTAGTTGTAAACTTGCGTGTATGTTGAACTCCCATGTCGGACAAGTGATGAGTTCAAAGGTATTTCCAGTTGTTGGACGAGCAAAGGTCCGGTAGAACAGGCATGCACTCGTAGGTAGGGCGCATCCTTGAAACCAAAATGATGAGCTTGGTTCACATCGCGAAATTCCAGGTAAACTGTTGACTTCTCGTAGTTCTGGTATAACTGTTGACGGTCTGACACTTGCACAGTAGTTTTCTTTGCATGATCCACTAGTAGGACATCTCTTAACAGCAAGTGTTTCCATAGTATAGCTCCGGTACCATCCCTCGGATTTCGGCACACAATCCATCGTGAGGGCATCCACTATAATACTCAAAGTTCCCAAAGCAATTCCATGTTCGTTTCTAAGTAACAAAGTAGTTGTTTGGCCTTTTGGTAGCAAAGTTAATGTTGTGGCATAGTTGAGCACACAAGATATTCCTGTCGGTCCTCGTCGGCAGCTTTCTGACTTCGTTGTGACTGCCACGGTATTGGAGGAATAAGTTTGACTGGCCAAAGTAAGTAGCACGACCAAAGGTATCCAATTCGAAGGTGCGGGTCGTCTACCAAGTATCCGGTCCAGGTGAGCACGTCTCCATTCCTGTCCGGTCTGCTGTAAGTTGCGGCTTGCTAAGTTCAATTGTTGTCTCATAATTCGAGCTCTTGCTGTGATTCCTGTAGTTCTAGCCAAAGTTTGAGCCTGTTGAGTAGTTTTCCTTGTACATAGTGTTCCACATCCCACTATACAGTAACATATTGACATAAGTGCACGAACATTGAAGCTAAAAATCCGTAGTAGACATAGTAGACATCCGCAACAGCAAATAGTGAAGCTCATAACAAGTCCTGTAAGAAATGCTGCCCATCTTGGACTGCATGTTGGGTTGGCGACGTGGTCGATACAGAAGAGACAATCTATCAGTGAACAGTCTCCTATTGCTGGACAAGTAGTGTGAACGGCACATGTTTCGCTGGTAGTCGTCCAGAAGTAACTCTTGCAAGTGTAAGCTTGTAGTAACATTTCCTGGGGCAGTTCATAAGTAACATTTGGTGAAGCTTGTCGTATCAGACAATCTCCTTCACAGCAAATTTCCATTTTTGTTATTTGTGGTGGTGTGCTGACCAAAATTCCTTTGTTTGAACAAGTGAGTAGACATTTAGCACAATCCACCAAAGCTGAGACTGGGGCTAGCAAGTTGAGCACGCAGATAATTGCCAAAATCCATGGTGTAATAACAGTCAAAGTTGTTTTCTGTTTTGCTCTAGGTCGAAGATTCCACGTCTTAGTAGTTGGTTGTTTAGTTGGTTTGGAATGTTGATCCTTCTGATGATCAGTTAGCTCTAGTTCCTCAAGTTCTTCCATTTCAAGTGCTCTGTCTCTAGGTTGTCTCTGAGTAGTATTGTGCCTTCTAGGTTGAGTTCCATTTCCTTTGAAGCTGAGCCATTGATCGTTGTCTTTGGTTAGCATTCGTTCTGTACCGCATTTGTTGATTGAAATCACTGCCACTGATTTGTTTGAGCGGTTGAGTCGAAAAGTTGATTCTCCTCCAACCATTTTGCCAAAGACGGTATCAATAAGGTAGAGTCCTGGTGATATTGATTTCCAGCTGGTAAAGTACTTCCAAAAGTGACGAATGCCAATCATAATTGCTGGTGCCTCATGTGAAGTTGTAACAGCATCTTCAATGTTAGCTCCATGCAAGAATTTCTTATCATTCAACTGAACTGTATTGAATGGCTTTGTTATTTCTTGGACGCGGTTGAGCACACATTTCTCCCATGTTCCATCTTTTCGTTGTAACTTGAGTTCATGCATTGGTGAGTAAAATTTGAGTGGGTTGTTCATTGAGCCTCCAAAAGCTTCAATTTCCATTTGTTCGGCACCTACGCGCGGTGGTTGTAGTTCTTCCACAAGATTCTTGGTAATGTAGCTTGCCATACTACCTGGGTCGAAGAGTACACAAACTTTTTTCTTTGTTCGGCATCCACGTGATGTAACCATTATTTTTCGTGTAAGTAAAAGAGCATTCTTCTTTGCTGGACCACTAGTATGAAGACTGAGTGTTGAGGCTGGTTCCTCTAGTTTGTCCTTGTTCTGTTGTCGCTCCTCACGAGCACAGGCGATTCTCTGTTCCAGTTCTGGTGTACATTGACGGTTCTGGTTTACTGCGGCTTCTTGGCAGGCAAGACGTTGTTGATTAGTTGTACACTTCTGCTTTGGTTGTGATGTCCATTGACATTTCTGGTTTGCTGCGGCTTGTTGGCAGGCCAGACGTGGTTGAGCACTTTTCTGCTTTAGTTGTGATGTCCATTGACATTTCTGGTTTGCTGCGGCTTCTTGGCAGGCCAGAAGGTGACGCGGACCAGTGCATCGGTAGCAAATCCTTTCTTTTTGACAGTCTCGTGCATGATGTCCTTCCTTGAGGCATCTGATGCATCTATTCATTTCTATGAGTCTTCTCATTCGGTCCCTTGCAGTTGAGTAGATAAGGCAGCGGCTTGGCAAATGTCCTGGTTTTGCACACAGTGAGCATATTCCTTGGTTGTATTGTCCTGGTTGAAAGCGTTGTTGCTGAGCCACGGCAGCAAATGTTCTCACAGTATCTCTTAGTGGTGTTGGTTGAGGTTTAACCTCCCTCTTGACATTTGGTGAGTTGTCCATTGAGTGTACACAGTGCAAAACTTCTTCCTTGAGACTGATGATTTCTTGTAGTTGCTTCAGTAGATCCTTGTGGGTCCATGGCCGACGAGATTCCTTTTCACGCATTAGTAGTTCTCGCAGCACGCCAGAGGGTAGCTTGCTTCGGATCTGCAACATAGTTTGAGTTGAGTCAGGCGATTGTCCCTGCGACTCCAATTGATAGCATATTCTGTCCACTGTGTCCATAAAGTTGCGTAGTGATGATGATGCATCCGTTGCCCTCGGTAAGTGCATCAGTTCTGAGTATAAGTTGTCGATAAGTCTCTTTGAGTCTCCAAAACGGTCCTTCAAAATGTTGAGTACGTGCTGGTAGTTGGCGTCCGACGGTTCATAATGTTCAATAGCTTTTCGTGCTGGCGAGTTGGCTGGCAGACACATCAATAAGTAGGTGTGCTTCTGGAATGCTGACAGGGTCGGTTGCTGGTCAACTGCGACTGAAAATGCATTCCACCATGTTCTGTAACGGTTAGCTTCTCCATCGAAGCGAGGTAGTTCCAATGTAGGTAGTCGGACGGCTTGTTGTACCATATTTGGTTGATTCATTTGTTGTGCGGGCAGCTGTTGGCCCTGATGACCCTCCATGGTCCAGTTGATTAGTTCCACAATTCCTCTTGCTCTCTCGTGTAAGTCCATAAAGTGTTCGTGCGGCGAATCCTGCTCGGCCTCAGGTTGCGGCGGATAGTTGTCATAAAGTTCCTCTTCTGCCTGTAGAGCATTTTCTTCCAAGTTGTCCATGTGTTCCAGCCAACGTGTGTTGAGTTCATTCAAGCGTTCCATTGACGATTCCAGTTGAGTTCTGACCAAACGAAGTCCATTAGTTGTTGCCTGATTGATCACTGGTTGATCCAAAAGTCCATTAGCATCTGCAATTCTGTCCCTCATAGTTCGCAAAACAGGAGCAATAGCACGGCGGATTGGTCCTGAAGACGGCATTTCTCTGATAGTAGTCGACTGCAGTAAGTGGGAGTCGATTAGTTATAGTAGGCTGCTGACAGTTGATTAGAGTCGACGCTGACAGTGGTCGATTAGTTGTCTCACACAGATATAGTAGTTGACGGTCGATTGCAGTTAACGACGGTCGATTGTAGTTTG